GTGCCATTCAAATGAATGGAAATGCAACACACTTAGCGCACAGTAATGCACACTAAGTGCACCGTGCCAAATGCTGTGAACGGGCCTTCAATCTAAGAGATTGTACAATCATATTGTAACTTGTGTGTCCAGCTCCAATCTCCTTGTACATCCATTAACAACCAGATTGTACTGTTTATGTTTCTGGAACAATATCTGCTTGTTGCTCTGCCCCAACCGTACTGTCCCTATAGATAATATTATGAAGTCATCCGTCTGCCGAGAATAACCTTCCCCTAATAATAGGAATCCATGTACATATATCATACTAACGTATGCATGTCTAACATGCTGCAGGCACCTCCAGCTCGGGCACTTCTCTCGGGGGAATGGCAGCTATTGGCCAGATGATCCACGCCAGCTAATAGATTCCACCCCTCCCAAGAGACGCCTGTCGGTTGTATCCTCAGGACTGATCTGTATATACCCCGCAGACCTCCTGATAATTAGACCTGAACAAATCACAGCCGCCAGCGAGCCAACAAAAGAAGAAAAAGAATACAAATGCAATTTTTAAAAGGTGACTCCGCTCAAACGGATTTCAGTTGTTGATACATGAAGGGGAACTGCATTCAGTGAAGAGAACGTCATAGCAATTACCAGCTCTGCTCTCCTTTCTCACTACTCCTGTTGAAAAAGGCAGAGCCCCGATGCTGTAATTGTCAATGAGGGGAATTTATCAAAACTGAAGCAGACAGAATCTGGAGCAGCTGTGCATGGCAACCAATCAGCTTCTCTCTTGAATTTTCAAATCTTAGGCCTCATTGGCACTGCCGCACGTATATGCGCGCATTGTACCATATGCAAATAAATGGCTCCATACACATAGCTGCGTATGGAGCCGTAAATTTGTGTAGCACAAAAATAGAATGGAACCGAGATGTGTGCGGGCAGCGTATTTCTGTGTATTTTACGCACATACGCGTGTTTGCGCGCGTATACGCACATACAGTTCATTAAAATTTCTATTACGAATGATGCATTCTGGGATTGCATATAGTGCGCGCATATATGCAATATACAATTTTGCTCTTGCGTTGTGTGTGAATGAGGCCTAAACTGAACACAGAAGCTGATTGGTTGCCATGCACAGCTGCTCCAGATTTTGTCTGCTCCAGTTTTGATACATTTCCCTCATTATGCTTCATTGTCTCCATTCTATAGAACACGGACACATTCTGTAACGATTATGAAGAATCAGGGACAGCGAGACACCCCCCTTTCCCCATGCAAACTTGAAAAAGGTGACTGAGCAATTCAGGCTACAACTGATATAACAGTTTTAGGCAGACTATCCCTTTAAGGCACAACAATAGCTGTCAATCAACATGAAACCTGGTACCTTAAGGCCCCTTCCACATGGGCTGATCAGGAGGGGATATGAACACGGATCCCCTCCTGATCAGAGGTTACCACTGTGACATCCCTGTCCATACAGTAAAACTGCCAGACCGCATGCCGGTCTATGGGGAGTTGGATGTAAATGGACATGTGTCCGTTTACATGAGATTACCCCCGATCCGGCACTATCAGGTCCGGCAAAACAGAACTCGATTCCGTTTGTTTTTCAGCGCCTGTGCAGAGTCAGGGGTAACTGGGTGTAAATGGATGCCCATCGACTAGCATTGGGCATATGATCGAGTCCACCTGAAAAACTGATAGGCGGACCCAATCGGCCCATTCGTCTGAAAGGGGCCTAAAGGGACCCTGTCACAAGACAAACATGGCGGCTTCCATTAATGTTCTCTCCTTCTTAGATTACTTGTTGATGGCCGCCATCCTGCCCAACTAACTTCACACTTTTGAGTCAATGACCTGCAGATAAAGACTTTTGACACCACTACAACTTTCCTTATCTGCATATTGTTCTGGGTCACAGTATTAAAGTCGGTGGGTCTACAAAAAAAACCATTGCAGGTTGGTAACAGGTACCCATAAAGTATAAATAAAGGCATTTGTTTTTAGATTTGAATAGAGTGGTCAGGGGAAATAACCACTATGGCTGTTATTGCTGTCTATGTCCCCATTACGGAGATTCACGCGCTTTAACTGCCCTGATCACCAACATCATCGGAAATGACAGGACCCAGACATTTTTAGTTGCTACCCACCCAGGAATGGGGGAGACCTTCCAATGGGGACACTATTTCCAGTGACAAGCTGTGTGTGTCTGCGGCAGTGCAAAGGTAGTTTTTGTGAAATTCCCAGAGTTCATCTATCTCTGGCACCCAACTCTTCTCCTTGATGCTCCAGATGGTCCCTCGCCATCCTCACATACAGTGCAGGGTTACGGGTCCTGCATCGTACCTGATGACATCGGTGTGTGCCCGCCGGACAGAGCATCTTAGTAAATAGAGGCTTCGGGGGACCATCCCCAGCCCTATGTGCCATTGCTTAGCGCTGATGACTGGCCACACGAGCATCAAATACAGAATTGTGTATGGCCGAGGTAGATCTGGCATCGCATGGTGCTACCAGCCTGCAATGGGACTTTGAGTTCTTTTTTTTTTTCTACAGAGTTGCTTTAATGGACATGTAACAGCTTCAATTTTGCAGCAGAGATTTGTAGCAGCTACACTTGCCTGCTTCATTTCTCTGCAGAATTCAGCTGCCTACGTCTCTGTGCCACATCATAGGTGTGCCATGACTATCTTCACTGGATAGCTGTAAATAATAAGGCTTGCCCTTCCATAGCTAGCTCCAAATGCTGCAAAAGTCTATCACACAATGCACAAAGGGAGACCATCTGCTTTGCAGGATACAGAGACGTATGGTAACACACTACCATGCTTCGTGGTGAGCTGCATTGCAAAACATGGTCCATGTCCAATTGTCAATCTGTTGTGGTGAGATGGTAGGCCATTGCAATGAGTGGATTGCCTTAACACAATGCGCGTGCCAAAAACACACAATGGACCTGCTAAGGGGTGAATCGCCCCTAAGGCCTTGTTCACACCAAATGCAGACCAGATCCGGTCAGGTTTCTGCACACGCAGTGTAGTGGGTTGTGCCGCGTTTTAGACGCGTTTAGAGCCGGTTTTGGTAAAACGGTTTTGGTTTAAGTTTAACATGGGCTTTCAGGCACTTGCATGCGTTTTAGATGCGTTTGTGATGTGAACTGGAGGTCAAAATACCATAGGAATTCATTGGACGCAGTTTTGATCCGGTCTGCACCTGCTCTGGTCCGGATCTGCTCCGCGCTTGGTGTGAACAAGCCCTTAGTCCTCCAAAGCTGCTGCATGTATGACCTGGCCCTTAAATGGCCTGCTGGCTCCCAATTTCCTACCTGGCTTATAAGAGCCACATGGTTCAACCAAACACATATGTATGTCCTTGATTTGATGAGCTTTCCTGAGTCATATACCAATAATCTCTGTTACATGAACAACTAAGGACACTAGTATTGACCACCGAGAGCTCCTAACTTTGCTGACAATGTACTACTTCCCAGCTATACTGCAAGCCAACAGTCATACAGACATTCTTCTGTATATACAGATAAGAGAGGAAACACCAAGCCTATCTTTGGAGCAGAGGCAGAACTGTAGTTATAAAACAAAAATATTCCCTAAAATATTCTGCAGGCCTGTGTGACGTGAGGTTTGGAGTGGACACTCAACGTGCTAAAACCTTCTGAGATAACCAACGCAAATTGCTATTCACAAAGTGTCACCACCAACACTTGCGGCATGCAAAGTGCAATGGCGGGGTGCAATCATAAGCACTTGCTTGCTATGGTTAGACTGAAAGCCGATTGGCTGCTACCGCCTGAAGCACATTGCACGTCATTTCTACCTCTGAAGTGATGATGTTTAACTTTGAAAGGTGATAGATAACTAACCTGTTACAGAAGCTTCAGAGCTGCCAAGTAAAGGACAACAGAGGGGGGGCTAGCCACCTCATGCATGGCAAAACATGACACACAATGCAAGGACACAGTGACAAAATCCACCAGCAAAACAGACATATGGGCTTATATAAAAGTCAAAGAGCGATTGGCAGTGTTGTAACCAATCAAAATTTGTTTATTAGTGTTCTGACTGCTCCAAACTGATGAAAGGTTGCAGTGGAACCCTTGGCTTGATACACTGAGCAGATGCCAGCAGGTACCCCCAATATGCAGCTCCGATATACAGGCCTAAACTTCTATGACTTTCTGAAGCGTAGGCATGTCCCCCACCGCACATCCCATAATGCAATGCCTGAGCATCCTACCGAAAATTGCCATCTAGGATGCCAACGAGGTCGGCTAGTGTTAAAGATTGCAAACGCATAGGGGGAGCATTTGGCCAACAATGGAATCAGAAGCCACCGATGCCTGCTGTCCTGCAACTACAGGGCCCCTTTAAATGTGACTAGCTGTGCTAGGTTAAACATTGCACATTGTTGCTCAACGAAATGGCTTATTAAATAAACCAAGAACAATCTGCATTACAATTGGTGATTTATAAAACGATGGAAGGTTGGAGCACACACACAAGACTTCCAGAAATGAAAAATATGCTAATGACGAAATACATAAAAGAAATAACCCCCCTAATTGGGATAGCCGCTGGATATCCAGTTCCCAGGGTACCCTTCAGTACGCCATGCTCTACATAGGGTAAAACAATGTAATGCTCTTGATTCTACACCAAGGCAAAAAAGAAGCAATGATCAGAGGATGGTAACCCATAGCAGGCAACTAACAACCGTTGCCTTGGCTGCTGTTATAATGAAAAATAGCAATTAGCTGCACCATGGGTTACTGCACTTTGCACAGCACCGCTGCCCAATAAGAAAGGCTAGCATGCATCCCTTGATACCATGACTGAACACACTGCAGCACACTGTAAAATCAGCCCAGGTCCCATTTGTGCTTGGATGTCCTCTCACCAGCTGGGACAAGCAGGCAGCCAGGAAGACAAACAAGGGGACAAGGGACAGGAGACCCATCCATTATGACTGACAGCTTCCCTTACCGAGTGATTGACTCCCCACATCAGGACACTGAGCAGAGGATCGCTGGCCCGGAACAGCTTGACTTTCTGAGCCACAAAATGTTTCTTCTTAGTCTTGGTCTTGCTAGCCAAAGTGGACGCAATGCTGCTGGCTGCTGCCATGGTCGGCACCTCCAAAATATCCAAACGCACCTGTCTTGAAGAAACTCACCCACTTAAAAGTCAAGAGAGAACGCTCAGGGCCCAACGTCTCATCTAGTCCAAAGGCCCCCCCCCCCCAAAAGGCAAAGCTCCAAAATATCCAAGTGGACCTGTCTTGAATGTCGCCCACTTAAAAAATCAGGCAGGAACCCTCAGAGCCCAACATTTCATCTAGTCCCAAACACTCTCAAAGGCAAAGCTCCAAAATTTCCAAACGGACCTGACTTGAAGAGTTTCACCCCCTCAAAAGACAGGCAGGAACCCAAGGCCCCCCCAAAAGGCGAAGCTTTAAAATATCCAAATGGACGTATCTTGAAGAATGTCAGCCACTCAAAAGTCAGGCAGGAACCCTCAGAACCCAACGTCTCATCTAGTCCCAAGGCTCCAAAATATCCAAGCGGATCTGCCACCAAGACCCGTCACCCACTTCAAAGGCAGGCAGGAACCCTCGGAGCCCAACGTCTCATCTAGGCCAAGGGCAACGCTCCAAAATATCCAAGTGGACCTGTCTTCAGAGCAGGCCAGGATCTGCAGAGCCCGGACGTCTCCTCTAAGGCGATGATGACGGATCCTGCAAAGTTTTTGCTGCGGTGTATAGGAAGAGGAGAGGGCAAATCAGTCCCAGGCAGACAGATCTTATTTTATTATTTGTAGATCCAGCCCAGAAAGGAAGGACTCTTCATGGAAGCAGAGGGAGAGATGTCTGTGATCTCGCAGATCTGTAGGCGTTTCCCTCTATCGCTTCTCTCTCCCACATCCACCAGCAGCTCTGGCCCCCTTCTTGTCTTGCTGTGATGCCAGGCGATGGGCTTGATTGAATGCACCTCCCTCCTTGCTCTCCAGGAGCGGCTCCTATCCATCCATGTCCTCTGCGATGGATGACAGCGAACACTGATGGTGCAGCAGCTGCTGTGCCCGCTGCAAAGCACAGGCACATAGGTTGCTGCTGATCACGATGGTTGCCCAGCCCGGCTAGTACACCCACATACATACACACACTGTTCTCCCCCTCCTACTGCAGCCTCAGCCCTCCCTGGAGACAAGGCACATGCGGCTCATGCAATCGCACCCAGTTCCTGCCAAGCCGGGCTCACCAGACGTCTTCTTCTAGATTTTTTTCTTTATTATTATGGCTCCCTTGGCTGGCTAGCCTCCTCCTGCCCCTGCTGCTCGAGCTCTTGGCTGCATCTTCCCAGCGCTTCCGGCCGCTTGCAGCCCGTCTGAGTGACAGCGCCGGAGGAGGAGAAAGGAGGGGCGGTCGGGCCCGGCCTTTTTTTTTGCAGCGCAGGGTTTCTTGGTTTCATCAGCCAGTGCCCTGGGCAGCATACGTGCGGGAGGGCGTAAAACAAAGGATTGTCCAACTCAAGCCAGTTTTGTCATTTGGCTTTTTTTTATTTTATTTTAAAAAATAGAGCAATGGTAAATGTTAAAGCATGGCCTTTACTGTCATGTGGAGAATGAGCTGCTTGGGGAAGACTTGGGCGCTAATCAGGGTTTGTGCGTTGGTTAGTATTCAGTTTCACTTTCGCAACAAAGCTTGAAGGGCCCAATCGCAGCTGTGGACCTATGCATTGTGCATAAGATGCGCATTCAAGTTGCTCAGCTGCTGCGAGTGCTGATTTAGCGAATGCCGTGCTGCAAGTCAGAGCTCAGCACTGCTAGCTTAGCACTCGCAGCGGAAGAGAATGTGGATGCAGAGCGCTGATTGTGATGGAGAAGGTGAGGACAGAGCACCAGCGGCCATTTTAACTGTGGGCGAACCTGGCAGCACTGGAGAAAGGTGCCCGAACCCCGATGGAGGAAGTCGATTCAGTGTGGGAACCTACAATTTAATGTTTTGGTGGACGAGCACACCAAATATTTGTTGGAAAATGGTATTTATTAGTCAAAAATATGATCCTCCGCCATTTTGTTTAGCACTGTGCAGCCGAAGCTTTGAGTGAAGCTGCTGCAGCGAATTGAAGTGCTGCAGAACAGCTACTCAGAACTGAACGCGCCTCTGGTGTGCGTTGTGCACCCACGCCAATGCACTGTAACATCGCAGTGTTTATGTTTTTTTCTTATTTTATTTTTTTAAAGGAACTTTAACCATTAATTTAATGTCTCCCTAAACAGTTGTCAAGGTTGCCAGTGTGCTTATTTCAGTTCTCAACCGATCTTCCATGCACTCAAATGGCTGGTGTCATAGCTGATCACACGTGCAGCACCATGGCAACTGCAATCCAAATAGTGCAAGGGTGGGCAAACTCCAGCCCCCCCAGCTGTGGTGAACCTACAAATCCCATGAGGCATCTGCTTTTGGAAGTCATGTCTGTGGCTGTCAGTCTTGCAATGCCTCATGGGACTTGTAGTTCCACAAGAACTGGAGGACCGTAGATTGCCTACCTCAGTCACATAAGGTGCCATCTTAGCCTCTATTTCAGGGGTCGGCAAATGCTGGCCCTCCAGCTGTTGTGGAACTACAAATCCCATGAGGCACTGCAAGATTCTCACAGCCACAGGCATGACTCCCAAAGACAGATGCATCATGGGGTTTGTGGTTTTACCACAGCTTAAGGGCTGGAGTTTGCCCAGGGCTGGAGTGCTGCAGAGGACGGTGCTCACATTATGATGGGGATTCTTCTCTGCAGTATTCTCCTGTTGCATAGGCTGGTGTGATGAGGCCCCCTAGGTGGTGTCCGCCATTGTCTGGACTCACAGGAACCTTCTAGATCATGGGTGGGCAACTCCAAGTCCCTACAAGTCCCATGAGGCATTGCAACACTAACAGTTAGAGGCATGACTTCCAGAGGCAGAGACATGTTGGGATTTGTAGTTAAAGCACAGCTGGAAGACCCGTTGCCCAACCCTGTTCTATCTAGAGGATAAGCAGATGATGGTGAGTATTGCAGCGAAATCTGCATTTTATTTTCTATTTCAGCAGGTCTGGGGCAAAAAAAAAAAAAAATTTCAAAAGGTGGAGTTGGACTTTAAAGGGACACTAAAGTCAAAGTCCACCCCCCTCCCATGCTAATGTAAGGACTTACCTTATGTTATACCTTTTGACCAAATCCTCTTCTTGCTTCCACTTGTTTCCAGCAGTCCCTCTAGCGCTGGTGACGGTCTCTGATCCAGCGCAGAATGCTGTTTCTTCCCGTCCCTCGGAGTCTGTCCACCGTGCACGTTCACGGCTGCGTGCATTGACTCTCACTGTGTCTCTCCTCTTGTCCCCACCAGTGATCTCCACTGCGCATGCAGTTCAGTCGAACATGTGCGCTGCAGGTCTCTACCTAAGATCTGCCCCTCACTGGCGCGTTTCACCCACATGGCCTTAATCGTAGAGAATTGTATGATGAAACCCATTAGGGGTGGAATTGCTCAGAGACGGACATTTCTCAGATGGGGATCTGTCGCGTGCATATTTGGCTGAATAAAGTTTTGTGAAAGGAAGTGATGTCATTGGTGTGCGGCCATTTGCTTTCTGTATTGGCACACATGGTGTAATTACGAGCTCCCATGGTCTGCACCCAGCGTACCTACAGCTAAGAGGAGGATTGGAGTTTGGAGCAGCGTGAATTTTGTATTCTATTAACCCTATCAGGGCATTTCAAAAAATCAGAACAGCAATACCGTGTGAAAAAGCAGAGTTATGCTCAACTCTTCAGCGGCCGGTTTGCTAAAATCTCACTTTTGAAGAGCTCTGTGCAATGATACTATCCCACTGAGTGAGAGTAGTAGTGTGTCCCCGCTGGAAACTGTGGTTCTCGCAGTGACTAGGCGGGAAGGAACCACGGCAGCCAATGCAGAAACGTATTACATAACACACCAGAGGTTTCAAATAGTATTGGCGCACAGAACCCTGCAAGAGAGCAAAGTTTTAGCACCGGGTATTGCTCTTCTACCATTATCAGCACAGCCCGGTGATAGCGGAACACTCTGAAGATTGGCCCCATCTTACAAGTGGTCCTCAAAAGTGCCCGAGCCAATAAGTAACTCTCTGGTGAAAATGCGGTATGAGATGTATCACAATTTATCTTAATCTACACGCACATGGAAATAATCTTTCTAAGTCGCAGTTTTCCAGTGACAACAACTGTCTGGGAAAAGCAGGATAAATGACTGCCCCATCTCTCGGATATGGCTTCTATATGTTATGTTATTCTAAAGGATACATGATTCATTCTCGTGGGAATTACTTTAATGAAGGCCTGAACCCAAGTTCATTTTTTTCTATGTTTATCGAGTGTCAAAGTCATTAAACACTGGAAATGGGGGAAAGCTGAAGATAATCCAAAGACAATAACTGAGTCAAATCATTATCAAGTAGATGGACGCTGTCAGACAATCTGATTATTTATAGAGATTCCGTAGTCTTTTTCATTTATTTCATATTGAAATATGTTATTTAGTCAGTCAATGGACAAAACACAGTCATAGGCCACTGGAGTTTGTACAGGACATATTCAATTCATTAGATTGTAAGCCCCCAGGGGCAGGGCCCTCCTTACCATCTTGTCTTGATTTGTATTGTGATTGTAATGTCTTCCTTGTATTATAAAGTGCTGCGCAAACTGTTGGCGCTATATCCATCCTGTACAATAATAATAATGTATGTCTGATTTACATGTTTAGAAAGAATACAACCCTTCCAACATTCATGTACATTGTTGTAGTTAGTTAATGAGCAGTTTCGAATGGCATGAAGAGGCCAAGAAATAATTCACTGGACAACAAAAACTTTGCTTCTTGAACATTTTTGGGTGTATCTTATAGATTTTGGAGCTGCTAATCAGGGCTGTAACTATAATGAGGCCTCGGACGGCATCTCGTTGCGTCACATTGGTGGGGCGGCCGGTGTGCCTGCTGTCCCCTTTCCGGCCAGAGTGTCCCAGGTTGCTAAGAACTCTTAACAATCTGAGATGCTCTGGCTGATGTCCCACTCAGCTCACTAAGGTCACTGGCTGCCAGGAGCTGAGTAGGACGATCTGGCTGGTATCCCGCTCAGCCCCTGGCAACCAGTGATGTCAGTAAGCTAGGTGGGATGCCAAGCAGAGGAACCTTCCCAGTAATGTGCGCCTCCAACAAATCCAGATAATTGCCGAAACGTCACCAGCACACCAAATCCTTATAGGATCAAAGTTCGTAGATTTTATTGCAAACTCATGCCAGTTACACAAGCGCTTTCGGGGCCACACA